ATACACTAGTCCAGGATATGTTAATTTACTAGACATACATATAAATAAAGTATGTATGAGTTAATCCTGTTATATAACATGGAATATAATATTATATAAGTATGATATATCTAGATAGGTAGTTATAGATAATATTATATAATAATACACCACATCTAACTCCTGACAGTTGTTTACTGCTATAATACATGTAGATGGATACCACATCTCACTAATATAGGAAGTAGAAAATACTGGTAACACAGTAGATACATGTACTGTAGTTCATTCACCCATACTGCACTAAGCTCTAAGAAAACCAATCTGTTTTTTTTTTAAATGAAATGAAATGAGTTTTTAACGTCCTCTCCTACTGTTGTGCACAATTGGGCTAATGAAGACAGGATTGTTTTCAAAAAATATATTGTGTTACATTGATGTACATGCTTACAACCTACATGTATCGCTCTGGCTTAATCTTGTTTTCCGCTTGATTCCTTTTTTTTTCTTGTACTCTATAAACCGAAATGCCCCAAAACAACACAAGGAATTGATATTAAATGACAGAGAAGCATTGTATAGAATTGTCTGTAATAGCCTCTTTAAAGGCATTAAAGCACTGCTGGTTCCAATTAAATTTAAAGGAAAATTCTACAAATTTCCCCTCATACATGTAATTAATACTAATACATGTGTACCTGTGGTTTTCAGTCATTTCAAATAGAGTAGGGGGTATGCTCTATCATTTCTACAAAACTCAGCAGAATGACAGCAAATTTGACATTCTCTTCACGTTGGGTTTTAATTATGAGTATCAATGGGTGTTCTTATACAATAAAGTACTTTTACATTAAAACTTGACATAAGCAGGTAATTAAAGATTCTTACAATGTATCATCTGATAACAGAACTGAAAGTTCAAAAACCATGTGGTCTTCATTTTCAGTTCTTCAATACATTGTACCAACTGCATAATTCATTCTTTTAGATCAAAATTTAAGACTTTTTTCAACAAACAGTATATGTTCAGTCATGTTTTTCCAGACAAAGCGAATTAATGCCACATGTGTCTCTAATATCCAGTGGGGTGTCCATAGAAGATACTATTTGAACAGCTAACAATAAGTACTAATTAAAGATCAGTCAAACGAGGTTTACTGTGTTAGTTATTAATAATTAGGGTACTCATTCACTAACGAGGTTATCTCTTCAAGGTACTGTAGAGTTAATACCCTAATTAATGACTCCCAGAGCTCACACAAACAAATTAAACTAACCACAGACAGATATTTACCATATATATGTATATATATGTACATGTTGTAAATATGTGTAGTCTCAGATAGTAAATAAATCTAGCCTTGGGCTTGGAACAATTACTCTACATATATATATGTTTTCAACTTTTTTACCTAAAAGGGATCTTTACTTGAAATGATTTATTTCATGGGACGCTTGGACCTATCCTTATATTTTTCATTAATAAATCCACTATATTCTACCAACATGTAAAAATTTTTTTATCAAAATGAATCCCAGAGCAACATAAACGTTATTCAAGCATAATATCTTGCTCTCATTTGAAAATCAGTTAATCATGAGCAATTTATTAAAGGTGTCAGCTGATCAAAGGGATATTTCAGCTGACCTTCTACTTTTATATCAATCAAGCCATTATTAAACTAAATCATCATTTCTCTTTTCTTCTGTCTATCAATATGACAAGCATCTGTAATTTCTCTTCAATAAACAAAATAAACTGACAAATATTGCTTTGGGTTTGTTTTTTTTTTTATGAAATTTTACAATGTGTACAATGAAGGTAAACTTTTGACTCTATACATGTATAAGTAAAATATAAACCTGTGGACATGTCATACAATGTACTTGATGTTATTTTTATACTAATCATACATCATCTTTTGTTATTTATACAGCTTTATATACCATTTTTATAGTTTATCTGGCAGCATCGTTTCTTTCAACTTACAAAAAAAACCTTAACCTACAAAAAGGTGTTAAAACACATTCCTTCTGTTCAAAACCTAATGGAATCCACACAATGTTGATAAGTTATGTAAAAATGGAAAAGGTGCAATACAGGTTATGAAACTGTAGATAAACACATAATACCTTGTAGGTGTACATGTACATGTATATGTACAAACAGTTGCTTGAGCTGATAATAAAATTTGACCAGAAAATTCCTAAACTTATATGTATTATTTTGAGAAAATGATTTTAAATACCAAGAGTCCATTACATTAAGTTAGCATCTAACAAATTGGGATATCCTGCAAGTTATTTATCTTTATTCACAAATCAAAAGACTTACTGGACCAGACTTCACAAGGTCAGGAGATAAATACATATGTGGACATGGACCTATTGATATCAAATAACACCAATTGTATTGTATCTTTGTTGAATTTCCCAATAACCCTGTGTCTAATATTTATCTTTTGTGATTAGTAACAACAGAATTTTGTTATAGTTATTATATTGTTGGACTATATTTTTAATGTACAATTTTAATTACATACATGTATATTATTATTACATTTGATTTTGATTCTTTTTGTTGACATTGAATGTTAAGGGGCATTAGTGAAATCCACTCAAAACACTTAATGAAGACAGGCCAACTTCCAAATTTTTGCAAAATGAAAGTAAGCTATTTGATATTCATATCAACCTTTTCAAGAGCGGAAAGATTTCATGTTAAAAGTTGAGTATTTTGATGTAAGTATATTATTATCATAATACATGTATTGTTTATCTCATAAACACATGTTTCTGTCAAAATGAACATACACAAGCATTTCATATCCTTACATAGGTGACAAAGTCAACACGAAAATGTATAAATTTACAAAATTAACTTGTAGCATGATTTTATGGATGGGTTGATTACTTTATGTTGATAAAGCGATTCATTTATCAAAATGTTTTTTTTTTTTTAAAAAAAGACAAGATATGAATAGGGAAGTATTTTTCTTAAACTCAAACTAAATAAGAAACAAAAATGAAGAATATAGTCCATGTTCCTGTTGAAATAATTCCTTCTTTAGCTTCTATTACCCTGTTCACATAAAAAGTACATTAGTCCATGTAAATGTGCATGTCTTCATACTGTGTTTATCTAAACAAATTATTGGTTGACTGGCTATCAAAGATAATAATAATTTATCATGTTGAAGGCTGATGTGTAAAGGGTGGTGTTATACTAGAAAGTTGTATAGTGTAAAACCATGTTTTCTACTGACCCTACAATACAACAAACTAAGAAGGGTACTTGTTTTATAAAAGGGGCACTTGTTCTATAGACATTAACATTCACTTATCTGTGTATGTTTCTAGTACCTTAATTCAATGCTCCTAAATGTTTGACAGTTATTTTTTTTGCCCTGAAGCCACACAGGTGTTGGTCATTTAGATAACTCAAATTCAATACCTTAGTTAGATCCTTTACATTGTGTTTTACACTGATCATAATATTGCCAACTCAAAATAAAAAACAAAATAACAAATTAATCCACGATAAATTCAACTCAAATAATCAATGGTGCTAGAATAAAAGATTTCTGTTCCTTTCATAAGCTTATATGTATATATAAGAAAAGTATTCTTAAAATATAAGCTTGAAGTGTAGGAATATTTTTATCCCAACTTCAGTTTTAATAAGCTTGGTAAATGAGACCAAATATGAACTGACATGCAGCAGCAGATAAGCTTTTATAATCGCTATATTGGTTGTCTTGGAATCTGTATGCATTACTGATTAGGTTTGTTTAAATTAATATTGGAAGCAATTCAAGAATCTGTGCAGTAAAGGTAATGTGAAAGGTGGGCGAATGCTTAAGTCTAGCCCAATATTGTAAACTATCTTCATAGTAAACCATTGGATAAGAATAGGTTAGTATACTTCAGTACTTAATAAAAATTAAGCAACATATTCCTGTTATTATATTATTATGGTACATGTAGATGTGTGAATTCCATGATACAGTTAGTTAGCAAATATAGGATTTTAAAAAAAAAAGCACACAGTCTCTTGAAAGACAACAGATTCCCCCCCCCCCTCCCGAATTCCCATCCAATCACCCATTATGCAGTGATATTTTCTATGATGTACTACCTCTCAGTATTACATATACTTGTAATGCCCTCAAGTATATGTGTATTATAGATATTGGATAATACCAATATCTCACAGCTCAGCCAACTGTGGACTATGGTTATGGGCCAGGTATTTTGTGTATTACATAGTTATAACTCCCACTTGTGTTCAGTAATCAGCAGTACACATACAATATTCAAAATTATTGATACATAATTCACACCTGCATATTAAGACTACAGCTTTACAGGAATATAAATGTAAACTATGTATAGTACATCCCCCCAATGAATTGAATCATAATTATTGTACTCATACAATTAAATAAAAACAATCTTGAACTAATCTTATTAATGAACTGGGGGACAGTCTGTCTTGCCACATGTATTTAATAGAATCAGCCTACTAGTGATCTATTAGAAGACTGCTCTCTCTCTCTCTCTCATAAATAACATGTTTATTTATTTATTAGTAAATATACATCATATTTATTATTCAAATATTCAGATATTGAATACACTGAAAAATTATGATTTGATTAGTATAGTAATGAATATTTAGTGAGAACTGGTTTAATCATTACATGCTTATAAATTTTATATGGGGGAGTGAAGTTTGATTATAAACTCTCTTCATTAGAGGGTGGAGCCATAAAGAAACATAATGAATGATAATACAGTAGGCATGTACAAAGTAGGGCCAATCCTTCTACATTCATAGTATGCAATTAAAAAAAACGTAATAAAATAAACCTAATTTCAAAATATGTTTTGAGCCAAATCATTATTGGCAGATGGCATTAGCACGAACCCAGATCAAAAGTTAATTAATAATTAAAGAAAGGGGGGTAATTAGATTCAAGTTACTATAATTAGCTCAATCAATAACATAACCGGCTTACCTTGTTATTCTCTAAGGCTTCAGCTGAATGCGCTTCCTTGGCACCGAAACATGTCTGGCACTTGGCCTTGTTGAAAATATTAGGTATAAATTTCCGACACTTTGCGGCCATTATATGTAGAATAAAATTAATCTGTATTTACATGTACATCCTTTGATGGTTGACAGCAAATAGAGACGTCTTCAATGCGATGTTCTGAACTGTCATTGACAACAAAATCCCATCGATCTCTGAACTCGGCTGTCATAATATAATAACATAACAGTACGCATACAGTGTTTCATTCACGTGGTGTGACAGCTACACAATTCACGTTCTTCAATAACTAACATGTATATTATCAATGAATACTTATAAACCAAACAGATGACAATCAGCACTCGAGAAGTTCTTATACGAAATAACAGCTAAGCAATCATATGATCGCCTTCAATCTTTCTCTTTTTTCGAAGTGTGTAGTTATTTTCCGCTGAGGTGTTGGCGGACGGATAATAAATAGGTGAGATGACTAAAAAATAGTTCATTTGTAAATACCCATATCTTTTTCTAGAAGTTATATTTTGTGTTTGGTCGCCTATTTGTGTATTAAGTATTTTCATGTTTGATTTTAAGTATATTTACAAAACGTATCATCGCTGTTAATAATTTGCTTAGCGAAGGAATAAATAAAAAAGTAGTTCGCCGGTCAATTTAAGGGCAGATAATACAAAACAAGCCGGGTAGCTTCGATTAACCACGTATGCGTTTGTGTTATTAGTATTAATGCAGCTTTATGAATCACGAATGAGCATTGATCGCATTGTAAATTCTTTTCATAATATTCATTGCAAAACTATTGAAATGACTGAAATATTCAACGTACATGTATTTCGTTCTAATGCCTTATTCTACAGAAGACAGATTTGTGTATTGCCGATGATAACACTGCAAACATTTTATCATTGATTTGCCGATGGATCTTAATATAAAACATTATAAGGTCCATGATTTACCTTAGATGGTGCAATTACCGCAATTAGCATAAAAAATATGCATCTAAAATTGTATTTAAAAAAATATATATTATTATCAAGAAAATATATAGTTATACACATCTAAATTTAAAATGTGTGTCCAAATATATAGCAATGAACATGGGTCTCAAATTTAGTCTTTATTATCAAGGAAACCAATAATCTATAGGCAATATAGCCCGATTGTTTCCGAGGACGTACGCCCGTTTGTGCCTGCAATTTTGATGTTTTACGATGACATTCATGTAAATATGTCTTAATAAAGTTACATTCTAGAAGAATATTTGTTTCTTTTTGTAAATATTCACAAATTGAACTTTGGATATCACCAGGTATACGGTCATTATCATTTTCCCCGAGAAAATATAATAATACGTAATAAAAGTTTGTAAAAATATTTCATTTAAAACAATATTTGTTTTTGTACATATTTTTTTTTTCTTTCATTAATTCAACTTTGGACAAAGAAATTCATTATCATTTTGCCTCAGTTTAAAAAAAAAACAATAGAATGAATGAATGAAGAATGAATGAATGAAATGGTGGTAAACGTCCTACCTTTCAGCATGCACCGACCGGGTTAATGAAGAGATACAAAGGTCAATATGGTTATTGGTGCGTCGACCGATTTCTCCCAAAGTTTGCATACAATGTATTTTGAATATCTCCGATGTTAGTGCATAATCAGATCAAAGCTAACCTGAAAAAAAAAGATATTCAGTCGGTGAAGCTCTCTTCTTCTGGAGTCATTGCGTGGCTCGGTGAGTAAGGCACTGGTTCGATCTGGGCGTTGATCAAGAAACTCCCAGGGTATTTCACAGCGTGATTTCTTGTCAGTGAGGACGGAGAGGACCTGACAAGGAACATCATCTAGTCGCTCAGATAGTACGAAAAACCGAGGTCCCGTGTACACGTTGGCGTGCACGGAAAAGAACCTTTTGACAGTTTGAATTCAATTTGCTGTCCGGGCAAATTTCCCTATGACTACGAATTTAAGGGTAGGGGGAAGGATTAAGTCACGGAGAGAGAGAGAGAGAGAGATGGGGTTTACCGTCCACTCGACTCAGACTAGGTCATTTCGGGACTAATATATGGTTTAATTTTATTTCAATAAGGGGTATTTAGCAGTGGGAGGAAACCGGAGGACCCGGAGAAAACCCACGAGGTTGGACAGGCAAATTAAGTCATGGATTGGACTTGTCTGGTGAAATTTAAATATTGGTATCGCCAGGTTCCCCCACCCCCACCACCGTGAGTGTAGCATATGAATAACGGTACAGATATTTTGCTTGGAGTTTGTTTAAACTCACTTATCGGGTTATGAAAAAAGGCGTCATTTGGTACCTATTTTATTACAGCCGATAAAATTACTAATAAATACTGTATGACAGAACAGAAGGCTATAGCTATAGTACGTATATTTCAATCAGTAGCGTTTAATTTTAACAGGGACGGAGGCCATCGTGTCTAAAAAAACAAAATGCCAAGCAGATTTACTAAAGGGGGCATTGTGTGAGATTAGATAAAGAGCTGACAGTTCTTGATATAATAGTTAAACAATAGATAACGTAAACAGAATATGCTGAAAATTTCAGTCAAATTGCTCCACTCTGAACCGAAATATCAGCTTTTGAATTCTAGGCAAGGCTAGACTCGATCATCATTACTAAAGTCGCTACGATAAAAATTCAAAGTCTCGATTATCCATTTTTACGTTTAATTATTTTTCAAAAAATGTATTCCAATTCGTTAAATATCGCAGGCTAGCGATGGCACCGAGGGTTGATTATGGTCTGGATAAGTTAATTAATGTCTAATTAATAATTTAGATAACATTTCAGGCCTAAAGACAGACCTGCAATGAGCAGATTTAGCTCTTGCATAATGTATGTTTAATATACATTGGGTAAATAATCTTTCTCATTTTAAGGGCATTAGATACTCAAATTTACGTCTACAAAATATTGAACAGGTATTTGAAATGATGAACTTCAGCAATCGGTTGCCATACCCTTGTGTCAGTTATCGAACTATCAATATTTAAGGTAAATGTATGACTGCTTGGACAGTCCATCGAATAAAACATTAATATCACTCCACCAATCAGTAACAAATTTGGCATGGTACTGGTACCACTGTTGCGTTTTGACTCGGAAATCGGTATGACTCAACACATGTATCAGATCTGTTTTATCAAGCACAGGCGAACCGGAATTATTACGTATATATTTGGTTCCAAGTTTCGTATACAAACAGCGTTATTATGTTGCTTCACTTTAATTTTCATACTCTTTATGACACAATTAAACGAGAAACTTTTCAACAATTCAATCGGTTATTATTAGTCCAATCTTCTTATTTATTATCTATTCACAAATGGTTCCCATTTATTATTATATTATTAGGTCGAGCTTCTGTACATTATGTGTGTCTACTATTTTTCTTTCAAAAAATTTCATGGCTAAAATCGCCTGTTTTGCATTTTAAGAAAATATTCCAAACCGGGTAATTAGCTTAACCGCATCCGGTGTCACGGTTAGACTCGTTTCGTTTTTTGATTCGTTGAGCCAGGGATTCGAACGATTACGCATCTCTAAGATTCCACGTTAAAATTTGGACCCTATTTTATCACAGTCGATAATTTATTTACGCTGTTGCTTCTTTTTTATAAGTTGTCTTGTTACTCCCAGTGTCTGCACACCCTATATACCATTGTATACCGGAAACACCGTGATGAATTATATGTTATTTATTCATATTTTACCTATTTTATCATTAAGACTGTGTACGATTAAGGTCATATTATGTATTTTTTTTTTTAAAAAAATAGAATGCCGAAACCAACCAGGTACAGGGGCAAATAAAAAAAATAAGAAATAACTTGGCATTTTGAAAACTACTGTTTACTTTTAGTGGTTTTAGTATGGCAATTTAATTGATACCCGCAACTTATGACTTAAACGGACAGTGTATATACAGACTAATGCCGGTTTCGTGAAAATCGACTGGACTAGAAGATTAATCTTGTCTCGAAGTCAGTACCTAAATCGAAAAATTTAATTTTAATTGAAAAAATGTGTAACATGAAAAATACATTTAGATATTTTGCCGAGTTTGGGTGGTGAGTTTTTTCACCACAGAAAGTGATTGACAAAAAATCGAACTTTAAAACAGTTCTACGGAAATAACTTTACGACATTTGTCACAAATACAATTAATTGAAAAAGAAAAGAAAAAGGAATCCATGGCACAAAGTTTCAGTGCTTTCCCCGCCATCTTCTTTTATATTGATTTGATATAACATGATTTTAATCTTCGTTGAAAAGAAAAGGTAAAAAGCAATGAATATTTCTAAAATATAACATTTTCTAATTGATAAATGATACAGATATTATTTTTATTTGTATTATTATAATTACTATTATTATTATTATTAAACAAGCTTATTTGTGCTGTCTGCATCCAGAAGATAAACTGAAAGTAGATTTTAGTCTATATAGAGTTACCTACCTTTAATATAGGGATCAGTTATTGAACAAAAAACATTGCATGAAATTGAACCAAAGTTTTTAACAACTCATATATTCTCGCTGGCAAAGAGTAAATAATTGCTTATTTGAAGTGATGATGTAAAATAAAATGGATTCTAATTAAATTCTAAACTGCATCATCAAATAATTGGGTATGTCAACAAGTAAAGCAAGTAGATATTCAATAAGCACTCCCAAGGAAGTCCCATCATGGCGACGAACGGATGGAAAGAAAATGTCGAGGAGACTGTTCGGAATATTCCGAGAGAAGTTAAACAGTATTCATTCCAAACAGAGCCGATTCCAAGACTGAAATATAACGACCCCGAGGTGGAGGCACTCATCAGGAATGAGGTAATGGGAAAGCTTTTATATAGATATATTTTCAGATTTTGACAAGACGGAAATAATTTTTGGATCCGTTTCAAAAAAGTCAATGATTTCTTAAACACTATCATATTAGGTCTAGATCAATTTTATCAATTGTAATATGCATGTAACGATTTTTTACGGACGAGTAAAATCTATGCCATCCAAATGAAATATAGCGGATGTTTTTTGTAGCAGGCTTCGCAGTGATCATGGTATTTTAATCAGACTGGGTTATCTTCTAGCAGACGACGGTTAGCCCGTGCGTACGTGACATAATGCAGCTAGTACCAGATGTAAATGATTGCTGTGTACTATTTAGTGTAGGCACATTAATAAAGCTAATATGTTCTTCATACATATCAACTGTCAAATTTCACGTACACATTTGTATACAAAGTATATAGATAGATTAAATGTAAACAAATTTCTTAGCTCAATAGCTGTTGTTACTGTTAGATCTAGATATTCTACAAATTATAGCTCTATTTCTTGTAAATTTTTTAAAAAAAGAAAATAAACACTCATGTTTTATAGGGATTTTCATCATGAACATATTGTTTTTTAAATTTTGCGTGAACTTTATATCAGCTAGGCCCTATTTGCAAATAATTTCTTGATACAGGCATGTAATTTCTTGACTGTCATTATTGAAATCCTTTGAAAATCAGGCATCCCCCTTAAATATAAGAATGCTACATGTATTACATAAACTAAGCAATGAATTTCAATGACATTAAAGGTTAATTTTTTCGCTCTGAACGGTTTCTTTCACTTCTCACTCTCTTAATTTTATTGAACAACCTGCAGAAACAGTAGGCCTGTACGATACTTGGTTAAATTTTGTGCCTAAACCTTTAAAAATTAAATTTCAATAGTAACAACAATACATCACCACATGCATGCAGACAACAATTTTATAAAGGGGCACAGCTCTCTGAGTCATCCTTTTAAAATTAATTCTCCTTTGTAGTTAAATTGCCAGACAAACAAAACATTTCCTGTTAAGCCCACCATGCATATAAAAGCATTTGACCCTTTCTCTGGTACCAATACTGCCATTTCTTGATAGGTGTCAACTGATCATAAATTTTAATTTTTATCTGAGTGATGCAGCTCAAATGTAAGTTAAAGGAGCTAAATCGCTAACATTTGGGACCTAGAAATTCACAAAAGTGGGTCGCAACGCATATAATACTGTAATATGAATGTATATAAACTGATTTACATTTAATGGTTTCCGTTTTTACTCCAATTTCAAATCAGTTATGTTCGGCGAAATAAGTCAGCAATCTCAATCGAGTGCAAATTTCTAGCGTCTAGTTATTCTAGTCTACATAACTCCATTTGATTTGGTGCAATGTGTCTAGCCTCGTCCCTCGAGTCTCTCAATACAACTGGGGCTGAAGCGCATTATGGTACACGATTCGTGTACCAATGTTAAAAAAATTAATTTATCTTAAATATCGGATATCAGAAGCTCATCTTTTCCCGGTAAGTTTACATCATCAATGTTGATTTAAATTGACTAATAATTCGTGTTTTCGATGTCGAAGAATTTGGAGGATTTTGAGTTACGGACTTAGGTCCTTTAAAAATTGAAGAACATCCTTTACTCGTGCAGTTACATGTAAGAAATTAATGCTATCTGTAAATATATTGGTTTTTTTATTGTCAGAGACCTGTGATTCTAACAGATACAGACCTTGTTAAATCAGCCCAGCATTGGAATTTGGATTATTTATATTCTAATATTGGAAGTGGCAAACATACTGTATATTCTTCATTTAAAAATAAGTTTTTGTATTATGATGATAAAAAATTACCAAATTTTCCTAATCTTGTGCTTCAAACAAATCATGAAGAAATGACGTTCCAGGAATTTACACAAAAAGTTAGAAATCATAAAACAGGAGACAAAATGTAAGTTTCCCCTTAAATTACAATTCTCTTTATAAATTTAAGTGCTACATTGTTTTATTGTTGTTGTTTGTATTTAATAATTATAAATGTACAATAAAATGCTATGTTAAGAAGAATATGATGACCTGAAATAAAAATAGATAAGAAATCAGTTAACTACATGTATAAGTGACCGTTATCCTCTACATTTGCACCCCCTCTTAAATGGAATAAATCACATGCTTTTTCAGTGCAGTTTTCAACTCTATTGGCATAAATTATAAAATTACCAGATGAGAAAACACCAGTTCATGATAATACTGCTCAACAGATACCATTGCACAAATCCCAAAATTTCTTATGCAAAATCAGCAGTCACCACACCCCAGATTTGTTTATGCATTATGCATGAAAACAACCTCATATTGACATTATATTTATTATTTTAACAGTAGTAATATACATGGATATTTTATTGTAGTTATTATTTACAACAAGCGTTAAATGATAGTGTTGGGAAGAGTATTGTTGTAGATTTTGTCAAATTTAATTGGAGTTGGATCACGGAACAGCAGAAGAAATATAAATGGGGTGCTCTTACTTCTAATTTACTGCTGGTTGGAATGGATGGTGAGCATAGAAACAAAATTTGAACTTAGTGTTGTAACCTGTGCCATTTTGTCCGTCCTAATGTCAAATGGTTAGCAAGCCAGAAAATAAAGCACCTGTCGCAGACAATGTCGATCAGGTGTATATTCAGACTCGGGCAGAAACCATCTGGTACCTATCATTTTTCCAGCACTGATTTGTCTTTTTCTATGTTCTGGTTGATATTTTTAATGCATGTCTGACACAAAGTTCAAAGTGGCGGGTACAGCTAATAACTTTTATTTCCAGACCTGTTGGTTAGTTTCTGCTATTTATTGATCAATCTAATTAAGATTATCAATTAACTAATTCAAAATGGCATACAACTAAGAAAACAGTTGTGTTTTGATTGGTTGTTTGCATTGTTGTGTCCCCACAAATAACCTGACTCTTATAGTAAACCTTATGAGATATTGAAGATTGAATCAAATATTTTGAACATAAGAGAAAAGAAAACAAACAAAAAATTGAATGAATTTTACACGTAGTTTATTCAGATTGTTTTTTTTATATGCTTCTTAGAGAAAAACCCTTTGGAGTTTCACGCTATTTAAATTTGGTGCTACACATCAATGTACACTTTTATGGTCTTAAATATAAAACAGTTGGTCTATCATGACCAACATGATGTGTATGAGAAAATTCTTTAGCCTGTAGTGATATTTTGACAAAATAAAAAATAAAACCTTTCTACTGCATCATGTGTTTTTGAAGAGTTGTCTGAGAAACAGTATTTTTTTTTTGTATGGCCTAATCTGATAATTTCCAATATTTCTGTATTCATGTCAGGTATATTAAAACTTTAATTAATGTAACCATGTTGGATACCAGATAAATTTTAACATTTTGAAACCATTGTATTTGTATTGAAGACTGTATAATATTACATTAATTGTTGTTATTAAACTTTTACTGTGACACAAACTCTTCTACAATAAACAAAATGACATGAATATTAATTAATCCTTTTGACAAAACGTTTTGAAAAAAAAAAACAACAGTAGATTAAAGGAGATTACTTATTTTTTTGTATAATTTTTGTGGCTAACCACTTACCATAGATTTTTTATGTTTATGGTATATTATATGATATATTGAACTACTGGCAGCTTTGTGAAAATACAGTGTAGTTTGTCCATTGAACCTTTATTGTAACTGATTAGACCAAACCTATTTGAGTTTAATTTGATAAATAGAATCCTGTTTAAAGAATTAAGATTCTAATTGACATTGTGAACTTAGTTTGAAGTTGACAATTTTTATCAATCAAATTATTATTTATGTTAACATAATTTTCAGGTGTGATAACTCCAGCACATTATGATGAACAACAGAATTTTTTTGCGCAGATTGGTGGTTATAAAAGATTTTTATTATTTGATCCTTCTATGTTTGAATGTTTGTACCCTTTTCCAGTTTATCATCCTCATGATAGGCAAAGTCAGGTTAGTCCATTGATTCAGGGTTTCTTCTGTTCTTTTTTATGTGTCAAAATCTCAAATATGAAAATTGTAAAGACAAGCAGATTGCCTTATTCTTTGTATTCAGCCACGGGAAAGGATTGCTAAATTTGAGTCGATGTAAAAGAATTTATTTCCAACATGGCGCCCAAATAATATCGCCGCCCTAGTGGCAGCTTGAGATACTAGGGGCGATAACTGAAAAAAAGTGTCTATACTTACCAGGTGACCGTCACTCAATGCAAAAATGATTTAAACTACATGTATAATATACCAAGAGTTATTGTCCAATATAAGCTTGCACCTAGTACATGTAATCTGGTTATGAATAATGGGTCATTTAAAATATTTGATACAAATTAAAGATCTTTGGCCCATTCATAATTTGTACCTGTAACCATTTCGATTTCATCAATTGACATTATGTATTATGATATGTATGGAAGTAGACAGCATACTTCATAGGGCTGTCCATGAGAAGAATTTTTATGAGAGAATTTAATCTTTTATATCTTTTATTATTTTTGTGTAGATCAGAGGTGTCAAACATGCGACCCGCTTTCCACATCTGGCCCGCAAAGGGTTTAAATGTGACCTGTGGAACAAATTTCAACAAACTGACGTGTCGATAATTCTTAGAATCTAGTGGTGGAAATCATTTATTATGTTTTCTGGTTTTAGTAAAACTCTGACTTCTGTACTGTATGTCATAGATATCTAAGTTGTATGTAATACAAGAGAACGTTGTGTTTGATATTATATCTTGGCAATTTTAGAATTCAGTTCAAGGACGTTTGGCTTTATTTTAAGAATTATTGTATATCTCCGGCTCACTTGATGTAAAATTTTAGTTCATGTGGCCGCTGAATCGAAATGAGTTTGACACCCCTGGTGTAGATCATCACTCATGAAAAAATGTTTTACCAGTCTGTATGTCTTCAAGGTAAACTCATATTTTACAGGTTGATTTTGATTCCCCAGATTTACGACGTTTTCCTAAATTCCAAGATTTACGAGGTTATGAAGCAATAGTTGGTCCTGGTGATGTTTTATATTTACCTATTTATTGGTATGTTTTAAAATAACTACACACCTACATGTATAAGACTTGTCTTGTATTTGGCTTGTATCTGGAAGCAAAAATGTTACTGTATTTTCTGCATAATTCACATTTTTCAGTTTGAAATATATCAGGAATTGATAAATAAATAAACATATTGAGGAATCACCCTTGACAATAGCCTTCAGCTGTAAATCACTTGAAATGCTATACTTTGTTTAGTCTCTGTCATTCAGACAAATATTCTATATCTTACATGTAATTCATTGTCAAGAGAAGGGATGCAACTTTTTCTTGACTTCAGCTAAAAAGTTCTATTGCCCATGTATAACCAGGAGTTTTGTTATTGATGTGGTTGATTATCCAGTCACAATACTTTAAAAGTGGACAACTGGTCCATACACTCTCTGTACATTGAAGACTAGGTTGTTGTGGCTGATTGAGACAATGTATTGATGTGTTAAAGAGCCATAATTTTGACAGTAGCCCTTTAAATTTTGATTTGAAACTGCTTCAATACAATTTTTGGGTGAAGTTTAAATATCATATTAATTATTTGGTTGAAGGTAGAATGTTGTATAATTACAGGTGGCATCAGGTAGAATCAGTACCAAATCGTGGTATGACCTTTTCTGTTAATTTCTGGTATAAGGTAAGACATTTAACTTGGAAATTTAGCCAGTAAATTTGTGAAAATCTATTGAATTAGAAAAAAATATAATTGTTATTGTATTAAATTCATTAGGCTTGATTTATGTTGAATTGATCTTCACATAAAGACTTGCTACTTGCTGTTTCATTTTTCTAATTGAAGTGTACTGTATTATGTGAAATAAATCTTATATTGTTCATTTATAAAAATGAAATCGGGTTTAATGTCCTACTTTCTGCACCAACTGGGCTAACGATGATGGGCTTACACCATACAGTGTGCTTTGAGGAAAATTTTGCCTGGACAGCTGCGCTAGGACCTGCTCTTAATTTGAATTCCAACTGTCAAAGGTTCTTGTACGTGCAAGCCCACGTGTACACAGGACCCCATTCTTTTGTATCATCCACCCTTCCGGCACCACTGACAAGGGGAAACCAAGCTGGAAAACTGGGATCGAACCTCAGAACTCCTGGTTAGTAAGCCAGCGCCGTACTCGCTGAGCCACTATGTCACCCTTGATTTATAAGGAGCATATTTTTTTCTTTTAAAGTGTGTTTATGTGAATTAATTCTTCTATAATTAAATGTAGTTTATTGTATATAGAAAGTATAAACTTTTATTTTATTTTGATTACAGTCAGGAAGTGATGAAAAGATATCATACCCGTTAAAACCTCAACAAAAAGTAGCCATGATGAGAAATATAGAAAAAATGGTTACAAGTGCTATTAATAATCATGAGGAGGTAAGATGCTGGACTGACTGAAGGTCTCAGACTAGTAATTACTTCCCCTGATATTATGGACCAATGTGGTGCATCTATTTATAGCAATTCTCTCTGTCTCCCTTTTCCCCTATTTTTCACAGCATTTTCTGTTGACTTTTTGGTATAGAATCGAAGAAGAGTGTTATAATTTCCATTTACTGCCAGGTTTTTATGATAATCATGATATTGGGGCCAAGGTCAAATCGAGATGGTAGACGCCCATCACTATTTTTATCAGATGATTGTGACATGTTTAGCTCTTTGTAGTTTTAAAGATTAAGATCAGCGGAACATCCCCCAAAAATATTATAGGCCAAGGAATGGCATGGATTTAACATTGAAGTCATTGAGGAGATAATTATAAATCTGAATCATGAGTTATATCCCTTTAAGCATATTGACAGTTAAAATTGTGCATGTCTAAGGTTAGCATCCCATCAGGAGCCACAAATTTACCATCACAAACACATAAGAGGTTTCAAATTGAGAAATGTCATGACTAACTTAAAACTAGGTCTGATGAATTTGAAATACCTGCAAATAATATACTATACAGAAGCCAGGGCCGCCTAGTTTTGGTGCTATTGAATTCAAGTTGGGAGATTATCTTCTGTTGATGTTTGTATTTTGTTTTCTCAATTAAATGTTAAATAACCAATTAGAGTATATTTTAGTGTCGATTAAAAATGCACAACCACGGTCAGCAACTTTAAGTTTGATGTCACAAATTAATTTGCAGCTGATGGATTGTGTCCAGAGTTCAGATCAATGGGTTTTAACTGAATATCAAGTATTTCTTTGTTGCTATCTAGTGAAAATATTTATTAAGACTTTTTATATTCCAGGTACCTCACTTAATGCGGACAATGGTATTAGGAAGATATACATGAAGCGCTACACTGTGATCTGTTTATGCCGAATTAATGTATGTAATAATGTCATGTTTACTTTATCACAAAGTCTTTTTATTTGAATATTAATCTTTTAGTGGTATTTAGCAATTGGATAGAGTAATAAACTATAACACATACTTATGGAACACAGCATTAGGCGCACTCCTTCTAGAAATTAAAGGGGGGTTGGATGGCCGAATGGTTATCATAAGGTCTGTCATTGAGTCAACTGGCGTGGTTTCGATTCCCCGGTTGTATGTGACAAGGAGTAGGGTCACCTGTCCAACCTCGTGGGTTTTCTCTAGGACCTCTGGTTTCCTCCCACTGTTAAAGACCCCTACGCTCAAGCGAATAATTGAAATAAAATTGAATCATGTGTTGGTCCCGAAATGACCTAGTTTGTGTCGTGTGGACGTTAAACCCCATTTCTCTCTCTCTCTCTCTCTCTCTAGAAATTGAAATAATTGGTGAACAAAATTGCGTCTAATTTACCAAAGAATATGTTACTTATGTATTTAGGCAATGTTTCAAAGAGCATTCTTTCAATGTTATAAGGTAGAATACTCTTCGAAGCACTGCATAAATAAATTAGTGGCTGTTTTCAATAAGTATGATTATTTGACATTCTACAAGATACCTGTAATGATTAGGAGTATAATTAATACAAATATCCACCAGTTTTCTCATCTTGGTTGTTTCAGTCAAAATTATCCCTGCCTTGACAACAATGAATATGGTGTAGATGAAAGAGTAGGCCATAAATGGTCTACACAGTGTCAAAGCTTATTTATGTGCGTCATACAGTTGGTTGATGAAAAAAATTATCTTAACCTGTTGTCATTGAACATATTATGAATGCATTGCCAACAGGTGGAATGATAAATATTTCTTTAACCAGAATCTATTGCCAGCTGTTGGAATGACAAATATTATTTGCACCATAATGTATTGCTAACTGGTGGATTGAGAAATATTACTTTCACCAGTATATGTTAACTGGTGGAATGAGAAATATTGCTTTTACCAGAATGTATTGTTTACTGGTGAAATGGGAAATATTACTTTCACCAGAATGTATTGCCAACTGGTGGAATGAGAAATATTAGTTTTACCAGAATGTATTGCCAGTTTGTGGAATCAGAAATATTACTTTCACCAGAATGTATTGCCAACTGGTGAAATGGGAAATATTACTTTCACCAGAACTGGTGGATTAAGAAATATTACTTTCACCAGAAGGCATGGGTGGAATGATAAATATTTTGTTCACCCGAATTATAAGTCACTTCATTATCTGTCAGCGAGAACTATTAGCCAGTTACCATATACATACTTTAGGCTGTTTTTGTTGAAGTCGAAATAAATACAATTTGGACTGCAGTGATCAAGACTGCACCGTCAAACTGGTTTTTGGCATTAATGATTGTGGTCTGTGAAGACAGAGCAAAATAAAAATATTAAAAAACTGGAGGCATGATCGTTTCCTCTCCCTGTGTTAAACTTGCTGTGACAGAAATGGAATTGAATCATGTACAGAAGTGGAATGAAATTGAAGACTGTCAAATATTTTTTATGAAAGCAATTATGTCATTGCAGATGGATGATCATGGTAATAGTTGATTATTATAAAAACTGTGTTGAATAAGTTGCTAATGTTCTGGTTTATTTCTGTTCATTTACTTACCAACTGTTACACAGTAAACCAAACACAACCTGCATGAGTATTGATTTCCAAAGAAAATACAATTTCTTTTCTCTAACTTTTTTTTAAAATCATATTAGAATATAACAACCTCTTGGATAAGAGAAACATTAAATACTGTAAAGCTGAGATTTTCTCTGCATGAAATAATTGCTGTTTTACAGTATTTAGATGTAAGATTAATTTTAACAATTGTTTTGTACCTTTGTAAAACATATTTTAAATTATACAATTTATTTGTTATGTTTCCCTAATAAAGTTCACACACTATTACATTGTACATTAATTGGCCACATAAAATTTGAATAAGCTTTAGGATCAATGGAACTATATTTTATTATTTATATATATAGTATTTCTTATATCATATTGATTGTATAAACTCAAGTATAGATTCAGGAACTTTGAAAGTGGGTGTGTACATATGGTGTGTATGCTATGAAATCATACAAAATATATCACTGCACATAGATCTATCCCTGCAAGTGACAGGGAATGATTTCCTTTTTTTGCCTCTGTCCAAAGTACAGCCCTCCCCATTTCCTCAGCCACCCACCCCCACTTCAAACATCCTGAAGCTATGCTTGTATATAATACCATAAAAGTATTTCCTACATAAACAATTAGAAAATGACAATTCGTTCATTGCTATATCTAATTATTGTTATGTCTTTCTCACTGTCACATTTATTAACAGTTTTTGATACTGATCAATAATTTTTTGTAATGTTAGCTTTTTGATATTGTTGTAATTATGTTATGCTTCATGGCTTCCACTTCCACAATTTCCATTTTTATAATAATATAAGTATTAAAAAATGTATAAGATGTAGTGATCCAGCCCCCCCCCACCCTCAATAAAATAAAATGCTTCATTAAACATAGCTTATCTTAAGTATGCTATTGATTTACTAAGCATCACAACATGTATAAGACACAGTGACCCCCCCCCCCCCCCTTTTCAATAAAATGCTTCATTAAACATGGTTTATTTTAAGTATTTTATTGATTTGTTAAGTATTAAAATACTAATAGTTTATTTTAAGTCCCCCCCCCTCCCTCCCACCCCCCATATAAATGCTTCATTTATATATAGTGTATTTTAAGGTTATTATTGATTTGCTTCGTAACTTATTTATTAATGGTTAAGAATAAGATTTTGGATTAACTACCAGCATTTAAAGGGGCACCGGCCCTCTCAAATTTATTTTTCGAATGTGACTTAATTTGACTATACACTTCAATTAAGAATGGTCCAATTAGATCCATTGCTGTCATGTTCATCTTTTATACTTGTTTCTGCCAAATACCTTATTTTAAGAAGTAGGCAAGTGATTTAATACAGTAATTATTGCCATAAGCAAGATATGAGGTTATTTATTCTGAATATTATATTATCAGTATTCAAAATTAATAGCAATTATTTATTTAGTTACAGTGAAGAGACATAATGCTGACTTAAGATTATAGGGATGAAGCATTTAATGAAGAATTATCTTTGATTAGTACTGAATTGATTGGTTAACCAGATGTTTATATACTAATTTTCATGTCTTATCTCTATTTCACCTAACTGTAGAAAAAAATATTAATTATCAGTACTTTCACTTTCCTTCCAAATTAAAGTTTTAAATTTTGATAATTATAGATCCAGAAATATGTTAAGACCTGATACAACAATAGAGTATGACCACATGCTGCATGCCTAATATTCTGTAAAGTCGGGACCCTGAGCAGATTTCGGGAAGAATTAAAAAATTGGGTGAAATAAACTTGATTTATAATGCAAACCTATTGTAGGCCAGCCTGAAACAAGTTTTTGATCGTCATTTGATGTATTATGAATCCCTTGCATATTATTGTGAAAATTGAATTTCTAAAATATTCCATAAATGGTTCAGTTCTGTTCAGTATTTTCTGACAAATGATGAATTAAAATTTGTTAACATTGAGTATCCACTGTAAACAATATATAGGATATAGTCAACATCAGTCAGCGCTTCCTATGATTTTCACTGAAATCTTTTGATGGGTGCCTTTTAAATCCAAGTCATAGATTATCTACCATTGATATTTTGTTTTCTTTATTAAACAATCAGTTTGATTTCATATATGGGAAGATTAAGCTGTGAAAAATTTATATTGTTTGATTTACTGGAAATATGACGATCAATGACTTGTTACACTGTTACATGATGATAGCCGACAATGACTTTAAACATGTTACACTGTTACATGATGATAGTTAATAATGACTTTTAACATGTTACACACTTACATGATGATAGCCGACAATGTGCAAAACATTAGGCATGTAGAATATGGCTGTGCATTATTTGAAAAGTACCAAAGCTCAATCAGTAAAACCATTTCCATTTGCATCATACAATTAATATTACATGGATTTATTTATGTTGTTTTTGTTTTATTAAAATAATGTCTTGCATGCTACAGTAGGTAGGAAATAATCAGAGGTGGAATTTCTCTAATTAAGTCACAATTTGTACATGTATTATAAACTAAATGGCCTTTTAGTAGTTCTGCGGCTGCTCATGCATATGCCTTACTGTAAAGTCAGTTTTGGGGTTATTGTTAATATTATTAATCTTTGCCATAGCTTTAGACTACTCTATGACCCATCACCCACCCATCCCACAACTATGTATTGATTTTAAGTTGTAAAACTATTGTATTTTAATTCATTGATGATGAACAAAAAAAATGTGTAAAGTTGAAGCGAACCTGTCAAATTTTCTGATTCATTCAGATTTTTTAAAGCTTATTGCAATTGTTGTGTGTATAATACAAATACCAATTATTGGTATAAAATCAGCCAATACCCAACCTGATACCAATTTCTAATGATCTTTCTTGAAGTGTGTGTCGATATTGTAAGAGCATGCCTAAATATCTATATTTCTAATGACTATGATTTGCTTTTTAATTGTCCCCTGCCTACCTATATATTAGGCGTGTCCCTCACAAATTTTGGACACAGTAACTCTGCTTATAATTGAGGTAGGATGTTTAAACGTGGTGTAGATGTTCAAAAAGGTGAATGTCTTGACAGATGATGAGCATTTGCTGCTTACGATTTTTGTAGGCTATGGACTTGTTGAGTCCAACACTGAGTGTTTTCTGCTCAGGTTAAGCAGAGTGGTAAACAATTTGCTTGATGCTTAATAAAAAATATAAATTTGCAAGTAATTAATGAGTGTCACCTATTATTTAGGGATTGGGGCGGGGACATCAGCCCCACGGTTGGCTTGTTTTCTTCAACTTTTCCTGTTAATTGTTATATTTCATATCAAATATGAAAATGTAGATATTTGTGAGCAGATTTTATTTTTTAATTTATTTAATTGTTTGTTGTTTTCTTGTTTTTTAAGATGAAATGTAAATATTTTTATGAAATGCTTTTACATTGTAATACTTGTTTCTCTGTGGATTATTAATGTACAACAATCTTTTTACATTTTTGTACTCTTGTTAATACATTTGTATTGAAGTAATTTTAAGTTTGGTAAAGGCATCCAATACAAAACTATTGATTGCTTCGGCAAGACTTAAAAATATAAATCTTTTCCTTGTCTGATACTTGAAATATTAATGATTACCCTTTTAATGAGTAGTAAAAAGTTTGTATGCAGTATACATAAACAAAATTGTAACATTTTTCAATGAATTGCATTAGACGACCTAAATCTAAAAAAATAGATGTTAATATTGTTCTGTTTATTCAGTTGGTCGTAGCATATGAAGACATGTTAAAGAAAAGATAGGCATGCAAAGCGTGAAAATATGCTCACACAGCAGCTATATCTCTAAAAAAATATTACCACAGATAGCAGTTTACCAAGTTTTTCTAAGGATCTTTTATACCTCCAAGAATTCCGGAATGGAATAGGGTTTATCTTCACCACACTAAATTTAAAACAGAAAAGACAGCATATAACAGTATCTTTGTTTAAGAGCTTGTCCAATTATCTAGACAGAGCCTTCGCCAAATTAAGCAATGATGCACCTAACCCCACACCAGGCACCTCCCACATAGAAAAACTCTTTGATCAAATTCAGGGGAAAATAACACCATTGTGGTACCATCGCCGTGAACACTACTACTTATAACGTACAATTCTGGGACTGAAAACGCAAAAACTCGATTTGATGACAGACCAGACCATTCCTAATTTGTCAAAACAGTTGATATTCTATCTTTGATGTTAAAGAAAACAAATTATAATATATAATGAATAAGCTATTTTAACAATAATCATAGCATTAATTACATCACTTAATCAGTGGAGCAGTTCAGTGCTGATTAGTTGGAGGTCAGAAATTTAGGGGTTATAAAAATTTGTACTCGAAATGGGGGTGAACCAATAAGACATGTCTTTAGATCAAGAGAAGTGCCGTAAATAAATGAAAATAAAACAGAATGGAATTATGGAATAATATTAAGTGAGGATAATAAGAGTTTCACACAGGTTAGCCTTGTCACTGAGCTGGTTTGTCGAATAAAGCTATAAAAAATTCTTTAGTAAAATGTATTACCACTTTGAAAGTAAAACAAAATGAAGGAGGCAAGAATATGGGAATCTTTCGAATACAAGATTCTTATTTGCTAGTCCCAAAATTTGTTGTTAATAAAAACGAATTATTTTGAGTCAGATACCATATGAAACTAATATGGGGAGCAAAATCGTTAATATTTGGGACCTAGAAATTGACACAAATGGGTCGCAACGAATATAATAATGTAATATGAATGTGTATATTATAAACTGATTTACATTCAATCGTTTCCGTTTTACCCTAATTTCAAATCAGTTATATTCGGCGAAATACGCCAGAAGTCTCAGTCAAATAGCAATCTCCAGCGTCTTGTTATTCTAGTCTACACTGATATAGTATTTATTACGCATGTTCTCTAGATAATGGCGTCATTGTTTGGCTTGGCTTGTGGAATATGTCTAGCCTCGTTCTTCGAGTCCCTTGTTTACAAATGGCACTGAAACGCTTTATGGTACACGATTCGTGTACCAATGATAAAATGTCAATTTTGTCTTAAATATTGGATATCAGAAGCCCATCTTTTCATGGGAAGATCACAACACCAATGTTGATTTAAATTGACAAATAATTCGGGTTTTCAATGTCGAAGACTTTGGATGATGTTGAGTTAAGAAACTTAGCTACTTTAATATTCAATGTAGGTACAGGGTTGAAGTTCTATATTTCAAGATATCTACTGGTGTGTAAATGTAATATGTACATGTATGTGTCAATATGGAACCATTATATGTTGTTGAAATTTTGATAAAATCTGGTTGAAAATCAGACTCACCTGAATCATTTTTGTAATAAAAACCTTAGTATTACACGCGATTGTTTCTTTATTTGACTGCCCCCCTCCCCCTTCTTGTTACAATTATTATTTATAAATAGTGGAGATATTCAGCAGGTGTACCCATTTTACGAGGGTGGGCTGCTATTGAAAAAACCTATTCAGAAATGAGATGAAATAGGGGTTTGACATGCACGTAAAAGAACACTTGGCAGTTTAAATCGGAATAAGAGAAAAACGCGCAGTGGACGCTTACGACTGGCCCCCGGATCCATTCACTTGATTTGATATTTGTACAAAACTGCGGAAATGCACTGCTGCTTTTATTAGAGGTAAGGCCAGTTGCCTACACATGAACATAAACAGTTCATATGGGCGGGTTACCTGACGGCCCCATTTTACTCGCAAACAGATACACTGTCAAAAGTGAAAATGGATGTTTTTGATTTTTGTCTTAATAATGAGTAATTGCTCCACTAATCCTCAGACATTCAGCAATTTGTCGTGGCATGCTCCTAATCAACCGTCCAATCACGATTTGGGGCAATCCGACCCACTCCTCTCGCAGTGCCACGGCCAATTCTTGCAGTGTTGTCCGTTGACGCTGACGTCGACGAATAGGTCTCCCGATCAAATTAAACGTAATACACTAAAGCAAAATGCGCTAAACAGTAAATCTTATGCAAGAACCGATAGGAAAGCAAACATGGATAGGATAAACCAGCAAGCGGCAGTTTTCATCAACCCTTCCTTGAAGTGTCAAATTTGACATTGAATCCATCCCACGTGTATGGCGCTAGTGTGTGTCGCACATGCAGCTCAGTGGTTCTGTTGGGGCGATAAGTTCTTCATCTGTGAACATACTCTCAAAGCATGTCAAGTGTCCATGACTATCAGGGGCGTAAATGTGCCCCCCCACCCCCCCCCCCCCCAGGAAAAAAAATAGTCGGTCGCAAAATCAGTGCAGTCGGTCGCAGAATAAGAGCATTCGGTATCAAAATAAGTGCTCACTGCACACGTCACGCTACTCACGCAAAACTTTAGTATAAAATAACCTTATCAACTTATCATGTTTGAAAAAATGTTGTATTCACTCTTATTCTGTTGTGAGTATGTTGGTCTAAGAACAAAATTTCCCACGGGGAGAAAAATAGTCGGTCTCAAAATAAGTGCAGTCACTGCAGTCGGTCTCGGCGACTTAATGAATTAATGATGTAAACAAATAATGCCAGAATAGATCCCGGTTACAGTGAATCGCCCAGTTAGTAGTACCACTAGTGAGTGAGTCGTGGATCGACAGATTGTAGAATTGTTAGTTCTACTCTCACAAAACAGGCGACATTGACAGATAGGCCGCAAGATTCTGTCCCATTTCTTATCCTCTCGTTAACGAGAATTTGGTTCCATTTGCGATGATATTGACTAAACTTTTCAGGCCCAGTCCCAAAAATTAAAATCTCGGTTACACATCTGAAATTTTTTCGCGCCTGCGGCGCTCGATTCCATTATAACATCATTCTTCCACTCCACTCAGCACTATCATATTCACGGTTATATTAGTAGAATCACTGGTGTGTGGGTCGTGGGGCCTCAGACTATACAAATGTTATGTCAACTCTTGCAAAACAGGCGGAATTGACAGGGGCAGATCTCTAGATTCTGTTCCAATGACTCACATTTCTGGTCCTCTCGTCCACAAGAATTTCTCCCAGCAATGACCTCAAATGCCAGGACTCAATTTTTCAAAATTTTCTCAGGTTACTCAGTGATATAGGCACAATCATATATGACATAAACTTTATGTCAACTTAAATAAAACTGCTTTCCGTCGAGACAACGATCGGCGAACAACTATATAATTATACAATACTATCTATGTTCTACCGGGACGCTTAATGTTGTTGACATTCATTTGTGGCTGGGATTGTGGCTGGCGCCCTAGATTTGGAACCGCCCCATCCCCACCCCAGCTACTGCACATGGCCCCTAGAAAACTCGCACCTGTTGTGCTCGGCTCCTGACTGTGTCACTCGTACTATGGGTATGGGCATCAGTCGGTCGCATTTTGGCTGAACACCCCCCCCCCCCAAACAAAATCGTTATGTACGCCCCTGATGACTATTTATCAAATCACAACCTGCATAGGTATTTGCATTTCAAACTTTTTTGAAGAGTATATTATAGCAAGAATGGCTAGCTGTTTATCTAAATCTTACATAATGTATCTTTAACTGATCTACATTAAATCTATCTATACTAATATTTGTGACTGTCGTTTGTCTGTCTGTCTGTCTGTTCGGGGTTGGCGGCTCTAGGTCTGCCCCGAGTCTGGAATTTGGGGTATAGGGGTAGCTCGGACCGGGGAGTAACATAGGCCAGGTGGCGTTAGTCTACCACATCCAGTTTCGGAGTTATGACCCCCGAGCGAAGGCGGGTATCCTGCTAGTACATAAAACAGCCGTTACATATAAAATTGAAGCCAATATCCAAACTATACATTTTTGTAAAAAAGAAAACAAACACGAAACCAATAAGATCAACCAACTAAAACTCAACATCCAAATAAACATCCCAGAATGAATATACATGTATTACCAAAGTGTGACCCGATCTCCCTACTATCACACCAACCTAAGAAGCATGATGATTATATTGTCGGTGGGGGGTTGGATGGCTGAATGGTTAGCGTGCGCGCGCTGTATCATAAAGTCTGTCATTGAGTCAACTGGCGTGGTTTCGAATCCCCGGTTGTACGTGGCAAGGAGTAGGGTCGCCTGTCCAACCTCGTGGGTTTTCTCCGGGTCCTCCGGTTTCCTCCCACTGCTAAAGACCCCTACGCGCAAGCGAATTATTGAAATAAAATTAAACCATATGTTAGTCCAGAAATGACCTAGTTTGTGTCGAGTGGACGTTAAACCCCATTTCTCTCTCTCTCTCTCTATATTGTCGGTATTGAGATGAGACGACGCCAGTCAACACCAGGAGGTATAAGTCGACTATTTACGACACCAAAACTGCGATATTATCTTCAAATCCTCAAAACAACCCAACACTCACACCAAAAGAGAACACGAAGCCCTTAAAGAACTTATGGAAGGCAGCTGTAATACATTAATATTTGATGCGCCTGACTATGTAAGCACTGTCAACACTCTTCAACACCAATCAACCTACACACGGGTAAAGAAAGCCCCCATTTCTGCTCATCAAACCAACCAAACACCCGAAATCCCTGAACTCGTCAGCGACCACCAAAACGCACCGAAACCCAGGTTATATGTGGGCTCGGTAGAAAACAGCTCTAGACTTTTGTAATAACATCAACATCAGGTTTTTTTTTCTTGGAGTACTATTTACAAACATCCTTACAAAAAATAAATAATAATTTGTTTCGTTTTTTTCTACAGGTTGGAGGGATGCCCATGGTTAGCAGCCAATTGACAAGAGCTACCGCAACAATTCAATTCGGCGAGCTTCGCTCCGGCGTTTTACATTAGTACAACTAACATAAAATTACAACAATCACACCAAATTAATCCATAAAAAAGACATAAATAAAACAGAGAAAATTATTTAGTACACATGGCAAAAGTATGACACAAACACAGCTAGACCCGTATTCAATCAGTTGTATATTTGATTAAAAAGTTCTGTTTTGAGATACTTTTTAAAACCTTTAATAAGATTTGCGCATTTGGTTTCGTTTGATATTGAATTCCATAACTTTGGAGCACCGACTGCGAAAGATCTATCACCGGAGTTGGTTCTTGAAAAAGACTTAAGAGGTTGTCTGTGATCGGAGTATTCTGAAAGGTTTGTTCGTGTTGAGAAGGTCTCTAAGATAATAATAATAATAATAATAATAATAATAACTTTATTTTCAAAGGGTTGAAAATTAGGCCAGGAGGCCTGTCTTACATTTTGCCCTTTATAACAGAAGTAAAAGAAGTAAACAATGAAATTTGAAAACAGAAGCGCAATATTTACAAAAGAATATTAACAAAATCACAATTGAAAATATTAATTACAATCACAATATAATAAAGTTGTCACATACGAATCTAATATTATGCTTATGGTACATGTAATATATTTCTTCAGAGCGCTCCCAATGTATATAAGTACAACTATATAAACGACTATACTAGGTCTCTACGTAGTTACAAATTTAAATAATTGCCTTCGAAATGAATAATATGATTTACAATATTTTAAACAGTCAGGTAATGAATTCCATAAATGGGCACCAGTAAATCTAATACTGTTTTTAACAACAGATAGATTAGGCCGAAGAATAACAATTTTGTTATTGATATTAGAGTATGGAGTATCGTAGTAGCAGAGGATGTTGGTTAAATATGAAGGGAATTGTTGATTAATAATTTTGTAAATAAATGCATATTTGTTCACTAAGTGACGCTGTTTAATATTTAAGAGTTTGATTTGGGCAAGGCCTGGAGCCAAATCTATTATTTGTTCTATACCTAGAATCAATTTAAAGGCTTTGTTTTGTTGACGACTTAGTGTGCTCAAAGCAGTAGAGTCACCCTGATCCCAAACTGGTGAACAATAATCTAGATAGGTTTGTATATAGGCTTTGTAGAACAGAGAACGATATTGAAGTGGTAGTAGCTGCTTGATTTTGCGAAGTTGGAAAATCTTCTGATTAACAATTTTGATCACATAATGTACATGGCCAGTCCATCGTAAATGGTGGTCTAAAATAATTCCCAAAAGTTTGAACCTGGGAACAGTTTCGATGACTGAGTCATTGATTTTAATACTAAGTTCGGACGATAAATGTTTACGCTTCTGTCTAGTTGTAATTAACATGGATTTTGTTTTGACCTCATTAACGATCATGCTATTATGTCTACAATCACCGTATCTGTATCAATTTGAAGATTGTTTTGAAGGTCAGAAACAGTTTTTGCACTAGTATAAATGGTCTTATCGTCAGCAAAAAGATCACATTTAGAATTTAAATACAGAGGTAAATCATTTATAAAAATATTAAATAATAAAGGACCCAAA